GACATCCTACAGCAAAAGCAGGGACCCACAAGTGCCTGGAARGGGGAAGCAGCTGCTGCCAATCACTGCAATTAAGTATCCCTAGATTTAAGCGAGCCCTCGGTGCCCCTGGGCTGGTGTTGGGAGGTTGGAGAGAAGCTTTTGTCTCTCTGATGCTGGTAAGAGGAAGACTGTGTTTACTGTTACTTCTTAAATTCATCTTTATTTACCCAATGGACTTTACCTGTTCTTTTCATGCAGAGCTTTGCTAAAGGGGATCTAGCTCCTTTGTAAAATCTCCAAGGAATTTGGTTTATGAAACTGGGAAATGGAGAGAAAGGGGAGGAAAAAAAGTGTTGCAGTATTATAGCACTTCTTCCTAATACTTGATATTCTGACAAAATGTGTCCCTTAAAAAAGGAACGTGAAGTGTTTTGCTCTAAAGAAAGATATTTGCTGTGTTATAAAAGTGTCAACATCTCACTTACAAATTGGTCATTTTTTTGGCAGTGACTTTAACAGAAAATTCCCCTTGGGGCTATAATGCCTCTCTCTGCTTTTTATTTCCTTTTTTWAAAAAAAAAAAACCTTAAAAAGCACTCCCTATTTTAGTGTGCCTAGATAGCTATTGTAGTGCTGCTTTGGAGCAGTGGGGCTGAGGCCAGGAGATGAAAGGAGACCAGGGGACAAGTGAAGTGAGATGGCTGCTTGCAGGCCAGAGGCTTTGCACTACCTCCAGCTCTGACAGCGAAGCAGTTGTGTTATGGGGGGTTCTTCCCTTCTGCTACATATGCTCCTGATATCCATCTATAAGCAGAAGTGCTTATAGAAGGGAGGTCAATGTTATTTTCCTGCATGCTGTGCTACATGAAGGAAGACATGACTGGAGTCACTAGGTCAGCCCGCTGCTGCAGGTCATTTCTCTGTGGCTACAGAGCTGATCTAATGCACCTGACACTGCTCGCCAGCTTCTCTTGCGTTTGCTTCGGGTTYCCATGCAGCTCCTTCTCCCTCATGGAGCGAGCTTGCCCGGCTGTTTGCTGTGCTCTGCGACCAGAGCTTTGTGTAAAAGCAGGTTGTTTGGAATTGCAGCCAACAGTTGGCCGTTCTCTATGGGAGAGTCTGTGGCAAGCCTGGCATTTGCAGCGGTGGTGTGAGAGGAAAACAAGCAGCAGACTGCAAGGCTGCCTCGTGTGTGCCCCTCGAATGTGTTTGGATAGAAAGCACCATCCCTATCTCTGAGGAAACCACAGAGGCCACAGGGTGCTGTCTTTTAAGTGTTGCATGTGTCCCGGGAGTCTTGGAGCAGCCTATGTTGCCCTTGATTGCAAATTTGCTTATTTTCTTGCAAGCCAGTGAAAGCTTGGAAATGAGGTAGCTGTGAAGCCCAGTGTCAGGTTGGTTGGGAGGTGCAAGAGCATTGCTCAGACTCTGATGCTGTGATGCATGGGCAGTTGTGGGGACCTACTTGCACAATAGACTGTGCACAGAGACTTCTCTCTCTGGGTACCAAAGAAGTTTTGGGCTGAGCAACTCAGAATGTCAAAGGATGAGAAACCGGTTGGAAACAAGTGTGTTTGCAGCGCAGGGAAGTGCCAGTGAGTCCCGACAGTCTTGTGACTTGTTTTTGCTTCATTAGAAATGTCTGTGATGCCTGAAGAGCTGGGCAGGAAAAGGGGAACCTTGAACAGCTCGGGTGGTATGTGAGCAGAGCTGGAGGCAGACTAGGGAGCAATGCACAAGCACTGAAGATGGCCCTGAGAGCAGCAACAGCCCAGCCAGTGGAAGCAGGAGGGTACGGGTCTGTGTGGATGGGGAGGCTGTGGGCAAACTCTGCACGTTTGGCTTCCTCCCCATGCTTCTCATGAGGTGGCTGGTAGATGTGAATATCTGTGGCTTGTGGCAGTGCATGGTTTGGGGCCACATGCTGACAAGCCTGCAGCTCCAGGCTTGCTGCTGCTCAGCCCTCTGCGTAATTCCCAGAAATCCTCTTCTCTTCCTGCCTGAATCTGATTGTCCTGCCTGTACCTCAGCCCTGTGCCTTAGGGCTGGCTTCCTGCCTCCCTGGAGAGCTGCATTTCCCACTGTAGGCACTGAATTCCTATATACAGCTGAAGAGTGACCTCCTCACTGGAGATGTTCCCTGACTTTGCAGGAGTGTTTTGAGTCACACTTCCCAAAACCTTTAGCCCTAGCCCTGAGTTAAACACAATGTGCACACCAAACCACACCTTGGCTCCTCCAGGCTGGTGAGGAACCTGGCCAAGGTGGGCCTTGTGTTGCTCTGGCTGCTCATGAGTAACCTTGGGAGGTCTCTGAGGCTTTGCTCTGGCCCCCTCTTCTGTGGGCAGAGTAGAGGCCTGGGGTGAACTTGCTGGGGTGAACTTTCAGGAGTCCAAAAGGCTTTGGGGAGAGTTTCCAGCTGGCTACAGCTGAAGCACAATGAGAGCTGGCCAAAGGCACCCATCACAAGACAGGTCTTGACTCTTCTGAACTGAAAGACTTGAAGTGGGTGTTCTGGATACACATAGGGTCTGAACTGACAAGCAGCAGAGGATAAACTGAGGCTGAATAGCTTTTGCTCCTCTTTATTTCCATAAACTGTCACAAGGTGCTCAGGGATGCTTGTATCATTAGGCATCCAGCTTTCATGCTGGCTTGTGATGTTGAAGGAGGGAAGTGATATAAGTAGGTTTACTTGCAGAGTTCTTGCTGAAGCTTTAATATTCTTTTAAGAAATTCCCCCTTGTATTAATATCTTTTAAAAGCTATTTTTTTCCATAATGCTTTTGAAACAAGGCAGAATGTTTCAGTACTCACCTTTCTGGAGCAGTCTTTTTAGCAGCTTGATCCGGGAAGCTGTTAGTGACTTGAGCTCACCATGACTGGGTCAAGAAGTCCTTGCCAGTCTTTCTAACACAGCAATAGGTCCTTCTCTTCCCCCTGCTCGCTCTATCTCCCAGGGCGTGAGGTTTTGTGACCACCTTGTTTTTTCCCAAGTAACTTGTATTTGGACAATGTCAGGGCAACCAGAAGAGTGAGCTGTCTTAGCTTTCAAATGTGAAATACTTTTTGTTTATGCCATSTTTCTAGCAAGACTTTGATATGTAAGACATACCTGATGCAGGTCTCAATGCTTCAGCAGCAGCTTTGCTTTTTTTATCACCCGCATTTGTTCATCACTGAAGCATTAAGGTACTTTGAAATGTTTGAAACTTAGATTATCTTTTTCCTCATAGATATGAATATTTTCCTAAGCAGAAATTCCTCACAGCTCACTTCTTGCTTGTACTTAGTGCTGCTTTAGCATCACTGCAACAGTTCTTGGGTAATTTAGTGAACCTAGTAATGGTGTTGAGTGACTTGACTTAGTATTTCCCAAGGCAGGATTAGGCTCCAAATGATCACTCTTCCCAAGGAAGGAAAACAGCCTGCTAGGCAGGAGTAAAATTCTCTGCACAAGTGATCCCTGACCTCAGCCACAACTGGACATTGGGAAGTTCAACACCATGGTCTTCCTCCCTCCATCACTTGGAAAAGATGGTAAGCAGCTGTTTTGTGTTGAGACTTAGTATGTTGGAAAGTGCTGGTTTATGCTGGGCTGAAGCTGTGGAGGTGCTTGGAGTGGTGCTCCTAACCCCGTAGCAGGTGTCATGTCACCCACCAGCCCTTGTGTGGCTCCCAAGTACTGGATGACTGAATGTGCAGGTCCACTTGCAGCTTCCACATGCACCTCTGCTGCTGTGCTGCTCTTAGTCACACAGGGCAAAGCCTCTGAGCACTTYACTCAGCACTTGGACTCCTGCTCCCAGGGTCCTCCAAAAGGACCTTAATCCAAGTTACTCTAGATGTGGTGTGGGCTTGAAGCACAAAAGCAACTCCTCAGTAACAGCTCTCTGCTTGTAGGGTTTGCAGGCTCCTAAAAACTCTCTTGTCTTTAGACCTGCTTTCCCATGGGCTTAAACTTCTACAAACCATATAGGTAGATCAGTGTATTATAAATCTCAGTTCTAAGGCACCCACTCTAATTCTCAAATTTGGGACTAATGTGTGTGACTGCCCCTCACTCTACGGAGGAGAAGGAAGAACTTTACCTTCCAATTACTTAGGAAGCAGTCAGGTTATACATAGACTCTCTGTAAAATAGGTCAATCTTAACAAGCCCTTCTTTTTTGTTTGCTCAGCGTACTCYCCAGGCCAGACTGTTTTGCTCCACTCAACTAATACTATAACAAAAGCTATGGAGGAGAAGTATCAAACTCTCCCACTCTTTCCCTGCCATCATCACCACATTTTGGTTCACAGCTACCTGCCTTACCTTTGGCTCTGAGGTTAAGAGGCAACTCCAAGAATAACAGAGGAGATCTGGAATCTCTGGCAACTGTTTAAGTAACTCGGGCAGGGAGAAGACATGATACCGATGAAGTACCTCTGCAGCTCAAGTGAGCTTTAAGCAAGCACCTGCTATTTCTCTGAACAGAGACACCCCAACAGGCTAAGGACACCCTAAATACCCCTTCCTCTCCTTGCCAGGACAGCACAGCTCACAGCACCTTCTGCAGGAGCAGGACCCGGGCCAGGGGGAGGTATTGGTGCAGGAGCCACATTGTCTCTCCTGCAGGCACCTGCTTCCCTGCCTCCTCTCTGCAGTGCTTGCATCTGGCCGAGGCAGAAATTTGAATGGAAAAGGAGCAAGTCTCAGGTGGTTGTGCTCTGGTGCTCCTTATTTCCTTGGACCTGGCTTCTTGTGGCAGCCRGAGCTGTCAGATTGCTCTGTCGCTCAACACGGTCATGTCACCCATGTGCCCCATGCACTGACACTGCCTCACACAGAGGTAACCTTGGGCGCCTCTGGTGAGTATAGGCACCTGAGGGCCCACAAATCATTTATAAATAGATTTTTTATTTATAAAGTTCATTTATGTAAAATATGATACTCTTTTTAAAAACTGCATATGTACAACTTATGAAACCCCTGCAAGTGCATACAAAAAAATGCCTTCAGTACATTAAAAAAAAAAAGAAAAAAACTTCAGTTTTTAAGAGACGTGAACCTTCACACCAGGCAAACGTGGACACCACAGTTAAGCCCCGAGATAACGTTACAGTCCCGTAGCAAAGTGTTGCAAAGAGCTTTTCTTTACCTAAGCTGCGCCGTCCCGGCGGGCAGCGGGGGCCGGCGCCGGCCAAGGGCAGCTCGGGCTCCCCGGTCCGTTCCCTTGCGGAATAAACGGCAGGAAACCAGTTTCTCGTAGGGAAGTAAGTCCTCCTGCAAGGAAACCAGTTTCTCCTAGGGGAAATAAGTCCTCCTGGGAGCAGCGGGACGTCAGTAGGCGCCGAGCCAGCCGGTGAGCTCGAGCAGGTCCCGCTCGTCGGGGCTCAGCGCCGCCTCGTAGCCGCTCTCCTCGGAGGAGCAGGGCGAGCCGGGCGCCGAGGAGCCGAAGGAGGGCGAGGCGGAGCCGCAGCCGCCGCCGCGAGGCGCGGGGAAGGCGGCGGGCGCGGCGGCGCCGTCGTGCTCGGCGAGCAGGCGCTGCAGGGCGCGGATGTACTCGACGGCGGAGCGCAGCGTCTCCACCTTGCTCATCTTCTTGTTGGCGGCGCCGTTGGGGACGTGTTCGCGCAG